ATACAGGTATACTTGATGTATATCTTGATTGCACCAACTTGCAAGTTGTCTAATTAATATAATTGTATTTTTCCGTTTAAGTGCCGTGCACAAGTCACAACATAAATCATTAATTAAGATTGACACAAACTCAATAATGTTGAATTGAAACAATCGATATAGAAACAATATCATAAAATACTACTCACTTTTTTTTTTTTTTGGGGGGGGAGGGGGTGGGGGGTTGAAAATGGAAATTAACTATCAATAAACAAGAAAAATATATGGAGTACAAGAAGATGAGGACCAATAAAGGAAGTAAGGAACAATATTATTGATTCAGTCTAAAATGAATTTTCAATAGCCTTAGTAGTTGGAATTTTTGTCAATGGTCATCTAGAAAGCTTATACTATTTCCTCGTTTGGTCATTAATTTTGAATTTCAAATAAAAATTTATTTAAATTTGAATAAAAGTATTAACATGCAGTCCTAAATTAATGTGCATTATATGTCAAGTGAAGTTTTTCAGCATATTTGACTTTCACAATTTTATTTATTTTTCAAAAGTCGATTTATAGGTAATTAATGATAAAACATCTTTTTAACTTCCGCTGAGGTCACATAGTTTCTTTTTCAACTTAATCTTCAAGATATGTTTATTTTTCAACTTCGACTCACATATTGTTTTCAATAAGATACATAATCATATTTCTTTTTGAATAGCTTCTAAATTATTTAAAGTTGCTTGTTGATGGACTCAGTCTTTTCTAGTTCGTTCCATCATTAACCATAACATTGAATAGTGCAAGAATTAAACTTATAAAAAGTAAGTGACTTCATTTTAAGTTAAGTATTAATCAAGTGTCTAATTTTATACATTCGTCGCTTATATTAGATTCACTGATGAGCAAAATCAAAAGTGCGTTTTTTAGTAAATTTATGAAGGAGATTATTGAGCTTTGGGAAAAAGGGTCAGATATACCCCTTAACTTTGTCATTTAAAGTTGATATACCTCTCGTTATGAAAGTGACTTATATATACCCCGTTGTTATACAAATGACTCGCATATACCCTTTTCCTCTAACGGAAGTGAAAAAATTCATTTTAATTTAATGTTTTAAAGAAAAAAATATAATCCATATGGGTATATTTAATCCTCCCTCACACGTACATATTTTTTTTATTTCAATGACTAATTTAAATTTATTATTTTGATGGTCAAATTTATTTATGTTTCACTAATTTTCTTGTAAAATCTATTATAGATGACCCAATTTTTTTTTCAAATTCAAAAACTAAATTACAATATAGCTGAAAAAATAGTTTTAAATTATAATATAGCCACAAAACAATTAGTTTTAAATTTTTTTCTTTACACTAAAGAATGAAAGAAGAAAAAAATAAGAATAAGAAACTCAAATAATGATAATCAAAAAAGTCAAAAACAATTTATGTATGAAAAAGATTAAAATATACGTTGAACTTTGCTAGAAAGATCATATATATATATATATATATATATATATATATATACTAGATAATTTAAGGCCCATGATACGGGCCCAATATAATTTCACATATTTTGTTGGAAAAATTACATAAATTCACAACTTAAGATATTATAATCCTCTCTCGGATACATCCTTATTTCCTCTCGGATACATCTATTCCCTCTCGGATACATACCTATCCCCTCTCGAATACATCCCTCCCCCGAAGTAATGTGTCATTTGCAATGTATTGGACAACCAAGGAATGTATTCGAGAGAAATGAAAATTTTGAAATTTTTGTAATTGAGGAAACTTCCCGGATATGATGTAAATAGCCTTCAAAGATATGAGATTTCTATACTTTATACTATTTTTTTCTTTAGTAAACAACTTCAATATATTACTTTATAATCTATTTCAAATGGTCATACGACCTAAATTGAGAAAGTTGAATTCTAAAAAATTATATGCAGCAAGGAAATAGAGAATTGTGTTAGATTATGAGTTAAAATATTTCGTGTTTGAGGAATATATAAAATGTTGATATCTTTGAAAAATTTCATTGATCTTCAAATATATTCGCAAGTGGTATCTATTTTCCACAATGTTATTATCTTCGTTTTGTAATATTTGCACCATAAGCTTTGCATATGATAATATGATCAATCAATTCGTAAAGATTGATTTAAAGTCTTTCAAATCTCTATTGCTTCAACTTAAGTATACTGTGTTTGCAATTGGCTTTGTCGATGAATTTTGTGATACATTTTATTATTGTCTTCGAAAAATAAAAATACTTAAAAAATTGATTTTTAACTTCACAACAATAAAAACAATCAAGAAAGCAACTTTATTTCTATATACAATAACAATTATCGTAATGATATATTCTAAACTACATTAATTAATTTTTTTTGATACTACACTCTTAATATCATGCAAAAAAAAAAAACCCTAAATCTTACCCCTACAAAATAACCAATATACTTTTTTTTTCAGGTTGATTTTTCCTAATTCATTTATTTTTTAGTTTTTTTATTCCTCTATATTTCTCAACTAAGTCTTTTTCTATTGACATTTTCTTTTGTTGTTCTTCTTTATTTTTTAACTACTCATTTTTCTTTAGTTTGAATTTTAATATTCATTAGAATTTGAATGTTAAACGTTTTCCTTGTCAAATTTTCTCTGTTAAATAGTTTATCATATTTGATATTAAGAAAATATATAAATAAATTTTTTATATTTTTTAATCTTTCGATGAATACATTATCGAATTATTAATTTCTTGATAGTCAAACATTGTTCATTCTTTTAGTCACGAAATTTGATATTTTCTTCAAATTAATTAAAAAAATATTGATACGTCATTTTAAAGACTATTTTAATAATCAAGATACGAATTTAGTGGTCATATTATGTAACATAATATTAAAAATATTTTTACGCAATAATCCTTTAAAGTATTTCTAAGAACAAAATATTAACTATTCAAACACATTTTATTTTAATTAGTTCAAAATTTTATTTCTAAAATATGTCAAAACAAGCTTAGTATTATTGTTTGTAATAAGTTAACTAATAGAAACTCTTTATTTTAACAAAATTACAATAATATCCTTATGGGCCCATAATGAAAGTTAAGACATGTATGGATTCTTCTAGATTTTCATTTACCATTAAGTATACAATTATTATTTTTACCCTTAAATGATGTTAAAATTACTAAAATGTCATTGGTCGTCCTTCTCATCGCTCATCTATATAATAGAATATACCTCTACATGATTTAAAAAAAATTTCAAATTAAAAAATATTAATTTAAAACTAATTTTTTCACTTCCGTTAAATGAAGGGCATATGTGAGCTCATCTTGTAACGGTTGGGGTATATGTAAGCCGTTTGTATATATATATATATATATATATATATATATATATATATATATATATATATATATGAATCATTCATAATGAGGGGCATATCAGCTCTAAATGACAAAGTTGAGGAGTATACCAAGCCTTTTTCCCTTGATCTTTTAGTCAGAATTGGATTCAATTCGTTGGCGTTTGAACCTTTGAACTATGAAACGGGCTGCTCTCAGTCAGCATTTATCGGGACCCATTAATTCATGTTTGGGCTTCTGGGGTTGGCCCTTACATTACTAGCCCTTTTGTGATCTGAGGCCATGATTGGGCTCTAGCCTCTTAAAAGAGGGTGAATTGCATGTATCGCCCATTTTAGGCTGATTAGTTATAAATTAAGGAAATTAGTGATCATCCATTAAAGAAAGAGCAGAAAATTGATGTAAAATTGTATTCACTTGTCTTTTGTTATATATTTGTTACAGTTGAAATATCTATGATGCATCCTCAGTGACTAACCCTTTTTAATGCTTTACATAATAATGACCGAGAAAGATATATGTGTTGTAAAACTAAAGCAAAACACGACAAGAAATATAGAAGATGAAAACAATAGAAATATAGAGACAAGATATGAGAGTATTTCTTATTCTTCAAAGTATTCAAGTACATACAATATGAATCCTTATGCCTCTATTTATAGTGTAACATAGAGGCATACAAAAAGTTAGTCATAAACATGAATATAATGCAGGATGACAGGATGTTATGGAGGTGAAATGTTACAAGAATAATAGTCATAAAGGTGGAGGTTATCTTCGTAATGGATGGAAGTATTGAGATAATTAGTCATAGTAACTTTTTGGTGTAGTGGACATTCATATCATAATATTTTATAACAATATGAAGTAGCAAATTAAAGGAGAAACTATTTTATTTCAAGTTGCTTACACTGCCTGCCTATAAATTAAACTCGATGCAAAGTTCCTAGACGCAACAAATTATATAAAAATGCCCTTATGTATTTCTTTTAATCATGCCACTTTTTTTTTTTCCGGTCTACAGCTGTTTATTTGAATAAATATCTAATGACGTTATTTATATTTTATTCATATTGAGTTCCGTTTATTTGATAAAGTTTGATTTTATTGATGTAGGATCAAATTATCAACATCTTCTAGCGCCTTTAAAGTGACATAAAACTTTGGAACGCAATCACGTAGATGAAGATGTTTAGAATTCCAAAAATACCCTTTAGCAACGTAAAGCTCCAGATCCATGTGACCAAACTGCTCTCTGAACAAGAAGTGAAGCTTCCCGATCCAATCGTCCATAGCCCCACCAAAGATGACTCTGCCTTGGTCTTGAGGAAACGACCGGTCAATCCTACCAACCGCTAATTTTGTCTTCTCTTACAGTGAAGTGAACCGCCGGTCAACACCATGTTTTCCAATTCCAATTTCGTCACCAAACCCATAATATGCACAAACTTTAACTCAACTTCCATTTCATTCATCTCCACTAAATATGGAGAATTCAAGTCAAGAATCGCATCTCCGGTCTGAAAATTCCGTTACATATGACTCCTCCTATCCTATCTACGCTATGGCTTTTTCATCCTTCACTTCTTCCCTCCCTAGCCGCCGCCGTCGACTTGCCGTCGGGAGCTTTATCGAAGAGTTCAACAATCGTGTCGATATTCTGTCCTTCGATGAAGATACCCTAACCCTTAAGCCTGTTCCGAATCTCTCTTTTGAACACCCTTATCCGCCTACGAAGCTCATGTTCCATCCTAATCCTTCTACTTCTCTCAAGACTAATGATATTCTTGCTTCTTCCGGTGATTACCTCCGTCTATGGGATGTTAGTGAAACTTCTATTGAACCCCTTTTCACTCTCAGTAACAATAAAACTAGTGAATATTGTGCCCCTTTGACGTCTTTTGATTGGAATGAGGTGGAGCCGAGAAGAATTGGTACTTCTAGTATAGACACTACTTGTACCATCTGGGATGTTGAGAAAGGGGTTGTGGAAACCCAACTGATAGCTCATGACAAAGAGGTTTACGATATAGCTTGGGGTGAAGCTGGGGTTTTTGCTTCGGTTTCTGCTGATGGGTCAGTTAGGATTTTTGATTTGAGGGATAAGGAACATTCGACAATTATTTATGAGAGTCCAAAACCGGACACTCCGTTGTTGAGGTTGGCTTGGAACAAGCAAGATTTGAGATACATGGCTACCATATTGATGGATAACAATAAGATTGTGATTTTAGATATTAGGTCTCCAGCAATGCCCGTGGCAGAGTTGGAAAGGCATCAGGCGAGTGTGAATGCTATTGCTTGGGCTCCACAGAGTTGTAGACATATTTGTTCTGCTGGGGATGACGGGCAGGCGCTCATTTGGGAGTTGCCAACTGTTGCAGGGCCTAATGGGATTGATCCTATGTCAATGTACTCTGCTGGAGCTGAGATTAATCAAATTCAGTGGTCTGCTGCACAACGTGATTGGATTGCTATTGCGTTTTCTAACAAGTTGCAGCTGCTTAAAGTATAAGGTGATTGGATGTTTGAATTTTTCCTGTAAGACAACAACTACTACTGCTTTAGTATCTCTTTTAATACGTGGTGGATGGGGGTGGTGCTTAGATGTTATTGTGTGTCCTTTTTGGACTTCTCAACCCTGTTATACATTTAGATAGTTACAACTTATTGTGTGACCATAGAACAAAACAGGAAAGCTAATTCAGGAATTTTGATATCCTGCTAATTCTTACTTGTAGTAGATAATGTATTAATGAGTTATTGAATGAAGGATGCCTGTTTATGTAGACTTATTGATGTAGTTCCTAATTCTTATCACGTATAGAAATAAAATTTATATTGTAGCTATTGAGTTTGGGAAATTAGCTTATACTGTAATGCAAGATGTGAAATTTAACTCGCAGAAACTTGAAGCATGGTTGAACTAGCTACTAGTTAATGCGACTTATTAGCCAATTGTGTTAGATCATCAGACATATATAGCCTTTGCTTATGCAATATTTTTTTACTAAGTAATATGGCTTTAAATGATATTAATGTCAATTGTGCTTCCACACGATGAATAGAAGAACAACAGTTGTACATGCTTTGGAACATAATGTCAGCATTGTTTTCCAGAGACCCCTGACTTTGTATACTTGTATGGATCAGTGGTAACCTATTGGTGGCAAATTCAACATGCTTTAGATTTTGACCCTCAACTTATACTTCTATTTATAGTTATTCTAAGACAATTTACGTATTTGATAAATGTATAGCTAGTCAACTTCAAAGGAACTGGTGGGGCTTTCTTATATTGCTGCAAATTGTGAATAGTGGAATTGGATCAGTATTAAAGGGATGGAGATTTTAGTATTCCGTGTTGTTTACATTGTTCTCTTCTTCGTGGCTTCTTTGCTATTGTATTTTCACTTGTTTTTTTATATGTTTTACTTGAGCCAATGGTCTACAAGAAATAACATCTCTACCTTCACAAAGTAGGGGACACACCACCCTCCTCAGATCCCACTTGTGGTTGTAGAATTACAATGGGTATGTCATTATTATTGTTAGAGGGCTGACGATGGGCATAGGATTGTTGGCAGATTAGTGTGGGAATAACCATGAAAAGATTCAAAGGTTTTTTTGCTAATGTCATATCTATTAATAGCTAAGTTGCTTGGACTCTCCAAAAATGTTGCTTCACCCGTGTCGGATCCTTCAAAAATACACTGTTTCTGGAGGATCCAACACGCACCCGTCGACATTTTTGAAGAGTATGAGCAACATATATAAATAGCATTGAGTTTGACATGCCAAGTTACATATTGAGTTTCCGAATCTGGAGACTGGAGAATGTGATGCGTTCATTTATAAAATAAAAAAATAGAATGATTATGACAAACGTGGGATATTTTAGGCACATACCGGAGAGAAAATAAATTAAGATGAGAATAAATAAATAAATACATGTTAAAAACTCAAGGAATCACTTACATAGTCGACATGCTTTAAATTAATGGCTTTGAAGCACATTTATGATTAATTTGTTTGTTGAACTTATTCAAATGAAGTTTTATGGACTGCACCAAAGTTAGTAGCAGGATTGTTTTCTTTATATGCTGCTGGGTTTCTGCTAGCACGTGAACTAGTAATGTTATCATGGAGTGTTCTTTGAGTGACAAGATACCATTAGACGTGGTCTAGTGGTATCTAGTAATGATATTATGGAGTGTCCTGTGGAAAGTGAAAACTATTCGTTAAGTTGTATAGGACGTCGTTAAACAATTTCACGTGCTCTTCATATATTCTGTTTTAAGACTTGAAACTGATATTTTTTTCCGTGAAATGTTGTCGAACTTTTTGTCTTCTTTAATTGGCTAGATATTCTCCTTATAGGTGTTTCCATGGTGCTGTAAAAGTAATTGTTACCGTAGTTTAAGTTCTGCGATTACAGGAAAATCTTGAACTACAGGAGAAAATGTAACTATAGGAGTTCCTTTGCAATTATGCAGTGTGGGAGCTTATTCGATGGAGCATAGAGACTTTCATACTTTAATTTTTTCTTATGCTAGTTGCATCGGATCTAGAAATCTGTTACCAGTTCCGATAGAAGGAAAAGAGTAAGGTTTAGGCTTTACCCAATAGTTGTTGAACCCGAGGTTGGTAATAAACTGAAGCTGCTCAGTCTACATTTGGATAATAGTTTCTGCAGTTGCAATTCTGACAATCTTATATAACTGGTCGGAATGAAAATTTCAACTTTGTTTGATGCAATCTATTGATGCATTTTTGTTTGAGCCATCTTGGACCATATTGTTGGGCATTATATTATATTTCTGCAGTAGCAGCTCTGTTTCTTATTTTTCATTTCTTGATTTTGTGTGATGTCACTTTTTGAAAAGAGGCGATTCTCGAAATGAAAATTAAATAGTAATACTAATGAAATTGGACCTAAACCAAATGGCCCAATAAAGTATTAACTCTTCTGGGGGCCCAAATAAGAACTGAAGCCTCCAGATCAAATCATCCATAGCCACCAAAGACTAATCTGTCTTCGTCTTGTGGAAGCGAAAGCTAGTCAATCCTGCCAACCACTAACTTTTCTTCCCTTCGAGCGAACTGCCAGTGAACACCATGTAAGCTCAACAACATGTTTTCCAATTCCAATTAATTACCAAACCCATAACACACCCACGTACATAACTTCAACTTCAATTTTCCCCAATTCATCCTCTCTAAAAATGGAAAAAAAATCTGGTAAAAAATTTCATCCCCGATCTGGAAATTCCGTTACATATGACTCATCCTACCCCATCTACGCCATGGCTTTTTCCTCCTTCACTGCTTCCCTCCCCAATTGCCACCCTCGAATTGCCATTGGGAGCTTTATCGAAGAGATCAACAATTGTGTTGATATTCTCTCTTTCGATGCACATAACCTAACCCTTAAGCCTATTCCGAATCTCTGTTTCGAACACCCTTATCCACCTACGAAGCTCATGTTCCATCCTAATCCTTTTGATTCTCTCAAATCGAATGACATTCTTGCCTCCTGCAGTGACTACCTCCGTCTTTGGGAAGTTGGTGATACTTCTATTGAACCCCTTTTCACTCTCAGTAAGAATAAAACTAGTGAATACGTTGCCCCTTTGACGTCTTTTGATTGGAATGAGGTGGAGCCCAGAAGAATTGGTACTTCCAGTATAGACACTACTTGTACCATCTGGGATGTTGAAATAGGGGCCGTCGAATCTCAAATTATAGCCCATGATAAAGAGGTTTACGATATAGCTTGGGCTGAAGCTGGGGTTTTTGCCTCCGTTTCTGCTGATGGGTCAGTTAGGATTTTTGATTTGAGGGATAAGGAACATTCGACAATTATTTATGAGAGTCCAGAACCGGGTACTCAGTTGTTGAGGTTGGCTTGGAACAAGCATGACTTAAGATATCTGGCTACTATGTCGATGGATTGCAACAAGATTATGATTTTAGATATTAGATCTCTAGCAAGGCCTGTGGCAGAGTTGGCTAGGCATCAGGCGAGTGTTAATGCTATTGCTTGGGCTCCACAGAGTCGTCGACATATTTGTTCGGCTGGGGATGACGGGCAGGCGCTCATTTGGGAGTTGCCAACTGTTGTAGGGCCTAATGGGATTGATCATATGGCAAGGTACTCTGCTGGAGCTGAGATTAATCAAATTCAGTGGTCTGCTGCGCATCATGATTGGATTGCCATTGCGTTTTCTAACAAGTTGCAACTGCTTAAAGTATAAGGCAATTGGATGATTGAATTTTTCCTGTAAGCCAACAATTATTACTGCTTTAGTATAATTATTAATTTGTGGTGGAAAGGGGTTAGAGCTTAGATGTTATTGTGCGTCCTTTTTGGACTGCTCGATCGTGTTATACATTTAGATAGTACAACTTATTATGTGGCAAAAAAACAAAATAGGAAAAGCTAATTCAGTAATTCTGAAATCCTGTTGATTTCTGCTTGTGGTAGATAATATATTAATAAGTTATTGATGAAGTTTAGTATGTTTTTAAGCTGTGATGGAGGGGGTTGGAGATTAGATTTTGTTATGTGTCCTTTTTAGACTGCTCAACTATGTTATACATTTAGATAGTTACAACTTATTGTGTGTGGCAATAGAACAAAACAGGAAAAACTGATTTAGTAATTCTGAGTCCTGTTGATTCTTGCTTGTGGTAGATAATGTACTAATGAGCTATTGAATGCAGGATCCTGTTTATGTGGTTTCACTTATTGATGTGGTTCCTAATTCTATTTTTTTTTTTGAGGAACAAGTAACTGTGTATTCACAAAATTCCATCATCCAAGCAATGATAAGAGTGAGCACTTGCATCCCATAGGGTAAAAAATAGAAGGCCAGAAGAACTAGTCTATGGAGCTTTACAATTTCCCTATAAAATCATCAAAAAGTTCTATATCCCCCGCCATATCCTGTTTACACCAAAAATATAGAAGACTAAGGCAATTCATTCTGATTTTTTGAATGTTGTTGCTTTTGTCTTCAATGCCTCTTGCATTCCTTTCCTTCCACAATGTCCACCAGATGCTTGCAGGGATCAATTCCCACCAATCCTCTTCTGACTCTCTTCTTCCAATCTCTTTCCAGCAATCCATCATACTTTTAGTAGTTTTGGGAACCACCCAACTCACTCCAAGTATACACAAGAACATGTTCCACAGATTTGCAGCTCTTTTACAGTGTAGAAATAGATGGCTATTTATTTCAGCATCCTGGTCACACATAAAACATCTTCAGCAAATCTGTCTACCTCTTCTTTGTAGTACTTCATGAGTCAAACAAGCTTTCCTGCAAACTAACCACACGAAACAAGAAACTTTTAAGGGGAGTTTGGCTTTCCAGATTAGTTTCCAAGGCCAATTCCTAATCTGCAGTTGCCAGTATTTCTCCTCCAGTAGCATGACTTCACAGTGAACGCACCCTTGCTGTGAAGTTTTCACACTGGTCTGTCAGGTGCATTGGTAGTTCCATTGAAATCATTTATCACCATAAGAAAATCTGCAGCTCTTTGAACCTCCCAATCATTTAGTGCCCTTCTGAAGTTGAAATTCCAACCTTGTATGCTACACATCTGAGCTATAGTGGCCCTATTCTGTTGGCTGAGGAGGAACATATTAGGGAAGAGAGATTTCAAGCTCCTTTCACCTATCCAAAGTTCATTCCAGAACTCAATCTTCACGCCATTACCGACCTTGAATTGAATATTTTTTTGAAACTGGTGCCTGAGTCTCCGAATAGTCTTCCAGACACTACAACCAAAAGTTCCAAGGACGTCTTCAGTGATCCAGTGACTTTGAAGTCCATATTTCTCAATGATGATTTTTTTCCATAAAGGCATATCTTCAGCACAGAACCTCCATAACCATTTTTGCAAAAGACAAGAGTTTTGGAGGTTGAGTTTCTTGATACCTGCTTCTTGTGAAGTGTTACAGTATCCCATTTTACAAGGTTGTAACCTTTCTGCTCCTTGTTTCCATTCCACAAAAAAGTTCTTCTGAGCAAATTTATTCTCTTCACAATACTCTTTGGTATAGGAAATAGGCTCATCATATAGGAAGGAAGGGAATCCACCACAGATTTGACTAGTGTTAATCTCCCTCCTAAGGACAAATACTGACTCTTCCATCTTGCCAATCTCCTGTCACATCTCTCTGGCACTTCTCTCCAAACCTCTATCTCTTTGTTCTTTGCACCCAGGGGCATCCCTAGGTACTTTGTGGGTAAGGCAGCTACCTGGCATCCAAGATTACTTGCTAATATCTTCATATTATCAACTTTGTTCACTTGGTAAAGACAACTCTTTTGCCAATTAACATGCAGTCCAGAAATGCCTTCAAAAATAGTAAGGATAGGCCTAATATGTCTAATCTAAGATACTTCAGCTTCACAAAATATTAGTGAGTCATCTGCATAAAGCAGATGTGTGACTCCCCTTTCATCTTCTCTACGTCCTTGCACCTGAGCTTGGAAATCCTTTGACCAACCATTTGCCCTTGCCCTCCTGATCATGTGGTTGAGCCCCTCCATAGCTAAGATAAACAAAAAAGGTGATATAGGATCACCCTGCCTCAACCCCCTCTCAGACGAAAAGAAGCCTTCATTATTGCCATTTATAATCAGAGAGAACCTTACCGTAGAGATGCAGAAACATATCCAGTTGATCCATTTTTTACCAAAACCCATGTCTTCTAGCACCTTCAGTAGAAACTTCCAATTAACATGGTCATATGCCTTCTTTAGGTCAAGTTTGCATAAGATCCCTGGAAATTTTTGTCTCTCAGGAATCCACTAATTCATTTGCTAAGAGAGCCGCATCCATAATCTGCCTGCCTTTTAGAAATGCCATTTGATGTTCATTTACTAATTTCCCCATAACAGACTTCAACCTTTCAGTAATAAGCTTGGAAAGTATCTTGTATACACTTCCTATTAGACTGATAGGTTTGAAATCCTTAAGCTCCTCAACTCCAGCTTTCTTTGGTATCAAGGCTATGAAGGTGGCATTGAAAGACTTTTCAAATAACTCTTTCTGATGGAACTTATGAACAGTTTCTAGTAGATCCTCCTTCACAGTGTCCCAACAAACTTCAAAGAAACTCATTGTCAAACCATCTGGGCCCGGGGTTTTGTCTCCATCACATTGCTTGATTACATTCAGCACCTCTTCTTCAGAAAAAGGTCTTTGAAGCCAATCTTGTTCCTCTTGTGAAATGGTTGGGAAATCTATCATGTCGAAACCTGGCCTCCAACTTTCTGATTCTGAGTAAAGTGTTTTATAAAACTCAACCATAGCAGTCTTGATTTCATCAGGCTTTACAATTTCTTCTCCTCTAACCACTAATCTGTCAATAGTGTTAAATCTTCTGTGAGCAGTTGCCATTCTTTGGAAAAACTGTGTTGTTGTCACCCTGCTTCAACCACAACACTCTGGATTTCTGTCTCCATTTTGCTTCCTCATTTTTAGCCATATTTTCCAATTCAACTACAATGGTTGCTCTTACCATCATTTCTTCCTTAGACAAGTCCCTGCTTTCCATTGTCAGATCAATTCCTGCCAATTCTTCTAGTAAACTGTTATATGTATAGAAATAAAATTTGTATTGTATAAGTTGAGTTAAGAAAATTAACCCATATTGTGATGCAAGATGTGAAATTTAACTCATAGAAGGTAGACACACACTTGAGCTAGTTACTAGTTAATGTGACTTTTTAACCAGTTGTCGGATTATCAGACATATACATCCTCCACTTATGCTCTAGAGAATTCCACTTAAAATGGCATTGAGTGACATTTTTTAATGAAGTAATATGACTTTAAATGACATTAATGACAATTGTGCTTCAAAATTATGAATAGAAGAACAAAGATAATACATGCTTTGAAACATGATGTCAGCATTGTTTTCTGGAGACCCTGGCTTTGTGTATTTGTATGGATTAGTGTAACCTATTGAAGGTAAATTCAACTTGCTTTAGAGTTTACCACTTAACTTATACATCTATTTATAGTTATTCCAGGACGATTTTCATATTTGATGATTGTATAGCTAGTCAACTTCAAAGAAACTGGTGGGGCTTTCTTATGTTCTTACAAATTGTGAATAGTGGAATTTGTTCAGTATTAGAAGGTTGAAAATTTCAGTATTACATATTGTTTCCTGCTTCATTTATCATATCATTGTCATTGCTATTGTTCTCTTCTTTTTTGTTTTTAGCATTGCTTCTTCGTCGTTGTATTTTCTTTACATACTTGTTTTTTAATATGCTTTACTTGAATCGAGGGTCTATCAGAAACAACCTCTCTACCTTCACATGGTAGGGGTAAGGCTGCGTACACACCATCCTCCTCAAATTCCACTTGTGGTTTTGAAATTATACTGTGTATGTTGTACATTACTAATTTCAAAAACAAAAAATTATACTGTGTATGTTGTTATTGTTAGAGGGCTGAGGATAGACATTGGATTGTTGGCAGATTAGTGTGGATAGAACCATGAAAGGATTCAAAGTTTGTTCGCTGATTTCAAGGGATGAAGATAGGCATAAGATTGCTGGCAGATTAGTGAGGATAAAACCATGAAAGGATTCAGAGGTTGTTCGATGATTTCATATCTATTAATAGCGTCGAGTTTCCAACTTTGAAGACTAGTGAATGTGATGTGTCCAATTATAAAATCAAGAAATAGAATGATTATGATAAAAGTTGGAGATTTTAGGCACATACTAGAGAGAAATAAATTAAGATGAGAATAAATAACAAATCAAGATTAAAAGACACTAGGAATCACTTACATAGTCCATAAGCTTCAAATTGATGGCTTTTGAAGCACATTTGTGCTTAATTTGTTTGATGAACTTATTCAAATTAAGTTTTATGGACTGCATGAAAGTTAGTAGAAGAATTGTTTTCATTATATGTTACTGGGTTGCTGTTAGCACGTGAACTAATAATGTTACCAGTACTTTGAGTGACAAGATATCATTAGATGTGGTCCTGTCAAAAGTATAAACTATTTGTTAAGTTGCATAGGACACAGCTAAACAGTTTCATGTGCCCTTCATAGATTTTGTTTTAAGACTTGGAACTTATATTTCTTTTTTCGTGAAATGCTGTCAAACTTTTTGACTTCTTAAAGTGGGACTAAATGTTCTCCTCATTGTTGTTTCCGTGGTAATGTAAAAGTAATTGTCACCCTAGTGTAGGTTCTGCGATTGCAGAAAAACCTTGAACTACAAGAGGAAATATAATTTGAGAAGTTCCCTTGCAATGACGCAGCGTGGGAGCTATACATTTCGATATTAGTTTCTGCAGTAACATCTCTTACAATCTTGTGTTACTGACAGGAACAAAAATTTCAACTTTGTGTGATGCAGTATGCTGATTCATTTTCATTTGGGCCCTGCTGGATCATCTTGTTGTTTGAGAGATCCGATTGCTGTTTCTATGCCTTGTCATAGTTGTATTTGTTCTACATGGAGCTTCTGTTGCTCAAGGGTTGTTTATTGCTTAACAATAATCTTTTCTTTTTGTAGAAAATTCAGCTTTTCATCTGTTAAGAAATAGATTATAATTCATGGGAAATATATAAGTTAGATAAATTAATTATTTTTAGTTTAGAAGGCCCGACCTGGAAATTGGTGGCTTCATTGAGAGTTTTATCTTGGTAATTCAGTTTAATGCTTAAAAAGAGTAACATTTTAATTTACTTTCTTTCCTTGTTCTCTCTCCTGGTTTCATTATCAAATCTCAAAGAGGATTTCTGATGTGTAGCTCACAGAGATGTGTTTGATCTATTGTGGCTAGGTTGATTGAAGTCTTAATTGTGTTGCATTGCCCATTTGGGAAATATCAACTTCAAACTGTTTGTCTCTCTGATTTTCTTCTTTACCCCAATGCAAAGTCATCTTTATCAATTGTAGTAACCCAAAAACAGAGGAAATACAGTTCAGTGGTTACCATGTTCAAGGGATAGAAAATGTACTGTCATGTTGGTTGAAGATTATACATGCAGACTGACTGAATTCTCATTTCTTGACATGCAATGGAGGTAGACGAGTAATCTTTTGTAAAGTTTCTTTCGATGTAAAAAAAGTTATTCCCGAATAGTGTCTGTCTTTGTTTTATGATTTAGAGCATAACTACTTCTGCAATTCCTTTGACAGTGTATTTTAGTCTTTCTACATTACTGCAAAGCAAGAACATAGCCATAAATCTGCTGTTACTGATGTTTGAAGTGATTTTCTCTTTGAATTTGCAGTGTGGACTATTGGAGGACTTGATTTTCTACCTTCTTTGTAAGAGATGAAAAAACTTTTGCCTCTGGTCATGAAGGTGGAGGGATTATACCTATTCAGGCACTTCAGTAGCACCATTTGGAAAAATAAAATCTAAAGTTCAGTACTTTTTTTTCTATCATCTAGTAAGCATCAATTTGAAAACCAAGTGTAATGGAAAATGATAAAGGAAACTTGTTTAACTGTCAAACTATGTGGATTGAGATACTACCTAACTGTTCTTCAACATTAAGTTATTTGGAAGTTGTTATATGAATCTTTTATTAACCATTGGCTTCTCTCTATGTGGACCTATATTGCTTGGGCTCTTCAAAAATGTCAACGAATGCGTGTTGACTTCGCCAAAAATAGTGTATTTTTGGTGAATCCGATACGGGTGCGGCATCGAAAGTGAAGAGTCCGCGCTCATTCACAAATAAAAAAATTGCAAAAAAGTAAAAAAGTTCTCTGTTTCTTCATTGAACTTCCCAAATTCTCTTTGCATCATTGTTTACTTTCTTTTTTTTTTTTGAACATTTTGAAGCTAGGAAAGTTGTAGAATTTTACACTTTTGGTTGAATTTTTTTTTCCAAAAACTGAGTTTTTTTCTGCTAAAAATTCTCGAACAAATATTTTGTAGGTTTGCCAAGACTCAAAACAGACCTTAAATACATATATTTTTGGTAAAATTTCAGATTTAGTCTTTGAATTTTTGAAAAACTTAAAACCTTTTTTATTTGTTAAAAAAATGTACAGACCAAAAGAAAGAAAATACGTACCACCTTTGTTTCAATTGTTTGTTATATTTTTCTTTTTAGTTCGTTTAATTTTTATTTTTTTTTACCCTTTGTTTGGATGGTTATTATCCGTTGTATTATATTGTAAGTTTAAATACAATGTTAGTTTTGATTGTGACTTAAATTCTATTGAATTGTATTATATAAATTCATTATTAGGTAACAATGCCAAGATTGTGTAACGATCGGTATGATAGCGTCGTTACCTTGTCATGAGAAAATTACGTGGTTTAGCAAACTTATACTACTTAATTACTCATCATAGTTATAGTTTGCTATAATTCCCACTCGCGACTAACATTAACCATTAATTACGTGGCTGACTTCGAGTTATATAATTAGCCACATTTGTATAATTCTTCACATTTGTATGATTCACAACTGACAATTTTTTTGTTTGATTTGTATTTGTATATGATGCTGATTTCCTTTGGTTTTTCAGTTTTGTCACCGTATACATTTAATCTTTTTGTGTATAACTTTTTAAAGTTTGTATAAACCCGTAGTTTTTGAATTTTGTATAATATAATTTATATAATGTAATTTGTATACTATATTTTGTATAACTGTTTAAAGTTCATATGTTTATATTTGTATCAATTCGTTATTTCAAGTTTTATCATATTTATATAATTTCATACTTTATATTACTCAATTATACAAAAACATGTGAATTACACAAACGTAACCGCCAATTATACAAACGACATGCGAATTATACAAATTATTGCCCTCTCTCGCTCGCCCCTCTCCTTACTCTCCGAATCTCGCTTGCCTCTCTCCTCCCTCTCCCAATCTCGCTTGCCATATATACAAATACATATGTATAATATACAATTATCTAACCGATCTCTCCCACTCTCTGCTCTCTCTCGCTCGCCTCTCTCCTCCCTCTGCCAATCTGGCTCCGCCACTCTCTTCCCTATAACATGTAGCTACAAATTGTAATTAGCAAACTATAACTATGGAGGTAATTAGGCTATTTTTAGTGGCTATATGCGAAAATTTCTCTTTTTTCATTTACTCTACCTTTTTTTAATAGCTCTACCCGTCTCCTATAATTTTTTTTTTTTTGTAAATCTATCATTCAAATCATGCACGCGTCAATCTTTCCCGTTTTAACAACTTAAATTTAAAACTACAAACATTAATTGATTAATTTATTATCTTAAAATTCATGTCAAGTCAAAATACTAATTTCGGATTTTTAGCAACCACACCGCCACACGCCACTCATAAAAATTGTGTACAAGCAAAAGTCAAAGTTTAAGAGATTTTAGAAGCCAATTGGGAAAAGAAGAATACATCTCAACCTCTAATTCTTCTTCTCTTTCAATCCTATCAATGGAACCTCATCAATTCCTTATCTTCTTCACAATATTCACTGAAACTACTTGATATGTCTTCTCAGCCACCACAACCACCGCATCTCCACAAGAAACCCACTTCCTTCCCTGACGTTATCTTCACTGCCTTTTCTCTCTTCGTTATCTTCTCTTCTTCAAACCCCACTACTTCCCTTCTCCGTAAATTCACCCCTCTTGTTTCTTTCCCTTTAAACCCCCGTAGATTTCTCAGAATTCCCACTATGTCAAACCCATCTCCCAGTAATCTTCGTAACCCTATTCATCACTTCCCCAATCCCCAATCACTCTCCGATTGGCTAAGGCCACGTATGCCTTCTGATTCTTTTGCTGCTTGGGGGGTTAAGCCGGGAACCAAGAATGTTAGTAATCTCTGGCTTGAGTTGTCTGAAGGGGAGACTTTGCTGGCTGATTCTACGCCGCCGGTTCGAACTGTTGAGGTTATGGTTGTTAAGGTTATTGGAAAAGACAATAAAGTCCTTGTTGAATCGCACCAAGAATTGTCGGATGGTGCTGTTAGGCATAGGTGTAGGCCGTTGTCGGAGAAGATGAAGCCTGGTGAGACAGTTGAAGATGCGGTTTTTCGGGCTGTGAAAGAAGAGCTTGGTTCAGTGCTTGGTGGGTCTTTTGGTGAGCTCAGAGAGAATGGCATTGTTAAGATTTTGCCCAATTCGTATTCGAAGAAGGTGGAGGAAGGTGTTTCAGCGTCGTATCCTGGATTGCCTGCTTGTTATGTGTTGCATACAGTGGAGGCTGCAGTGGATGGTTTGCCTGAGGAGGAGTTTTGCACAGAAGAGACTGATGAGTATGGAGATTCTAGTGAGAGGATGGTCGCAGATGGTGCAGTTTCATGTAAAAAGCATTACTGGAAGTGGGTTGATGCTGATTCGTTGTGATCGATGGTGTGGGAGGTGAGTTTGAGCTCTTGTCCTTCCAAGATTGAATTTTTGACTACTACATACATGGTTCAATAATAAAGATGGCTTCCCTGAGACTTGCGGTTGAGTGTCTTTATACTTTATAGGATATTTAGATACAGTTACATAGAAGAATTGCTTGATTTAGCTTTCTATTCATGTTAATATTCATCTCAGGTATTGAGGATTTAATAATTACTGCGTGTATATCTTTCTAACAGCGAAAACTTCTTGTCTTGTCCTGACTTCTGAGAAGAACAGGATGGCATTTGAAATTCAATTACATTATACTTATGGTGCTTCCAAGTGGGAATAACTTGATGATTAACATCTTAAATACAACATGTTTGCTTTGTTATATCTGGGCGAGCCTTGTTTCCTACCACTTGATCTTTCGGTTAGGTTATCCTTTACCGTCAAAACCATTTATTTTATTTTGGTTAGGTGCCAAATAATGTAATGACTTTCCATTTTGAGCTTGCCAATTGAGGGGATGGCTAATTGGCTGTAGCTTCAGGCAGCTGGGGGCTTTTAAGCTAAATGTGATTTCATGTTCAGGGTTTTAACTGCAGAATATCTGTTTCAATTTCAATGTCACTCCTTGTTTTTGGAATCAAAACCAAAAATCAGTTCCAAAGTTCGAGTTACACAGAGGCAAACATGATTAGTTTATTTCTTTTCATCTTCCCAAGTTTTGGTGGTCTGAGTTATTCGACTACATGTCTTGGTGGGCTGATGCATGTACCCAATGGAAATAATTGAGTCATGCATATACTAGCTCAAACTATTGTTATTATTATTGTTCTTTCATGAAAAAACTACAGTAGAGCCTAATTCTGGTGACACTGTTGAATGATGGGATTAGTGATACTTCTAAGCTTTTACATTTAATATAAGCTTCTTGAGGGACTTGTTACTTACATCACAACTCACAAGTTCGAGCCTTGCGCCATGCGAACTATGCTGGTAAGCTTGGTATTTAAGTGGAGTAGGGTAGATGTGCTGGTATGTGCACACCGTATTAGCAATATTTACCTACTTGAGAAAGAGGTATGGTTGACACCATAGAGGCGGAGAAAGGCTGGAATTAGGGAGAAAAGAATTGGGAAAGAAAGAATCCTTTGTCACCAGCTTTTGTGGATTTAGTTTAGTGGCTTAATTAGCATAAAAGTAGATAATGTTGGTAATGTGTATGAAAGAATTTTAAATTAGTTAGTTTGATGCTGGCCAGCATTCCCTCAATGCTGAAGAATACTACTTATGAATTGTCAAAAAAAAAAAAGAATTTTAAATTAGTTAGGATTTTTGAATTCCGTTTAGTTTCTGTAATTGACGCCAATTTAAGGGTTTATGGTTCTGTAGGCCTCTAGTGGCCTTTTAAAAACTACACTAGAGTCTAATTCTGGCGACACTGTTGAGTGATAGGATAGATGATACTCCTATGCTTTTACATCTAATATTGGTTGGTGAGAGACTTGTGACTTACATCACAACTCACAAGTTCGAGCTTATAAGCCAGTAAGCCTAGTATCTAAGTGGAGTAGGGTAGAGGGGATGATAAGCGCACTCCATGTATTAACAATATTTACCTACTTAGAGAAAGAGGTATGGTTAACACCATAGAGGTGGAGGAAGGCTGGAGTTTGAGAGAAAAGAAATTGGAAAGAAAGAATCCTTGTCAGCAGCCTTTTGTGGCTTAATTAGCATAAAAGTAGATAATGTTGGCAATGTTGTATGAAATAATTCAAAATTAGTTAGGCCTTTGAAATTCCTTTTAGTTGCTGTAATTGATACCAATTTTAAGGGTTTAGGGTTCTGTAGGGGCCTCTAATGGCCTTAAAATGTGGTGATCAAGTTGAAATACCCAACTCATGAACATTCTCATTGCTGAAGATGCCACAATTACCTAGTGTTTGTAGTGCTTTGGAGCAAGTTCTCTTCATTCATGGTATAAAAATTTCTTTACTCCCTGATACGAAACATGCAGAGGATTGGAAACATAGAAGCCAATTTAAATAAAGCCCTTAATTATATTGAATTTCACTGTAGTTTGTTCAGATCCCTCCAAATGTTTTTCTTGCTCTATATTCCCAAAATGCTAGGCTGACTCTGTGACATCTTTCCTATATGCCTAGCTACGAGTTTTTTGTTTTTTTTGTTTTTTTGTTTTTTTTTTGTTTTTGTGGGGCTGGGTACAACTGCAAGTGAAAGCAAGGATGAGTTATTGTGAACCATGTAAATCAAGTCCTAATTGTTATGGTTTCCTTCTCTTCTCATCTTTCTATTTACATTGCTCTAAGCTTTTTCTCTAAACTTAGTCAATCGGGCTGCTGCTGCCCCGCAATCAGTCTCAATTCAGTTCATTAAGCCACTAACTTTACTCTCCACGGACACTCCTTAACCTATCAAGTTCCTTGTTTCTCTGCTCTAATCCCACTCTTCTGTTTGTTAACGCATTCTCTTTGCTTCAGCCCAGTTTTCAGCCTATCTTCAGTTTACATTAGAAATTCTTTCATTTTCATCAGATATACTAGTGCATAAACATGGTTTTATAAAGAGCATTAAGTTTTTAGTTAGATTCTCAAATTCTCTCGTATTATTGTGATCCTTCAACGTTCACTCTCCTCCTCTTACCTTGTTACTACATCTTTGAAATTTAACGTTTGTGTAGTTAATATTTGTACTGTATCTGATGCTTATCACATTTGAGTTCAAAAACTTTGGAAAAATTTGCTTCCATCAATTGGAGAGATCAGGAATTTGATCACAAATGAATTGTCAAGTGGGTTTTTACAAGCAGAAGTAATTGGAGTGAGAGGTCTGAGCGGTAACTCTCAATGTTTTGCTTGGGTGAGGAAGAACTGGTAAACTTGAGGCGTTCCCTCCAATTTTGAAGTTCTCTATGGTGCTTAAGGAGGAGTCATACTCATATAATTGTGTTGATATTAGCTCAACTTACCTTCAGAATTGTTACATGGAGGATTTTCTCCCATGTATATATATTCTGGATTGGTATTGAGCGAGTTACTCTGCAAATTAAATGGCAAGACATATGTGATGAGAGCAAGAGGTTTGTCATTGGCAGTTTAAGTTGGTTAAATGATCCCATCAATACGAGTAAATTTTATCCAATCAGTAACCGAAGAGAGGTTAGAAGGAAGCAAATGCTTCCCCCCCCCTTTTTAGGGTCTTACAACTCGTCTACGGCTCGGGAATTTACTGGTCAAGCATTGGTAGTGATTGCCATTTTCTGTTTAGCTGAACCAACAAAAAGAACTACACCAGAACGTGCTGGAAAATTAGCGATTGTTGCTCTGAAACCATCTAATCTTGATGTTTTAATTAACAGTGTGTGTGGGTCATGAAACTGTAGTATGAAGCTCAAGGATGTGGCTTAGCGCCAATAAAGTGAGTGAAAAACTATGTGAGGTAAGGGTCCAAATTTTTTCTGTAGAGACAGAAAACACAAGTACATTTCTTTTCATCTTCCTCACTATTTGCTTTGGTGGGAGCCTGGAATGTAATAGTAGTTGAGGTGCCCATGCGATGGCGAGCTGGCACGGAAACCAATATAAAGATCAATCAATGTTTGGTGTCTTCCCTTGTTATCCTAGTATTTGTCTTTTTATAACCACAGAATATTTCGAAAACCAATAATATATAAGTACAAAAAGATGTATAGTATCCTGTCGCTTTTAAGATTTTCAAAAGCCGTTTGGTTCGTACAAGTTTAGTGTAATTGTAGCTTATCTAAACTGTAAACAAAATATAGTGTATATATAAAATAACCCCTAAAAGATATAAAGAAGACGCTGCATTAGTTTCTCATTAACTCGTCAGTATGTGGAAACAATTTGGGTCATATCAGCTAGATCATCCACTTGCTTCTGTCACTACAAATTATTTCGTTTATCTTTAATTCCATCTACAATCAAAGGGACACAACTTTCAAGATCAGATTAACGCCCTTTAAGACTCGATTATCCTAACCTCGCACTTAATCTTCATTATTCGTAGTACTAGACTGTTACAATTTATTTGCATGAAATTAACAAAGCTTTTATATTTCTCATCAATATAATTTACGATAACAAAAGTTGCAAATATATATGGTGTACAATAGATCCAACGCGATTAGTTTGGCGGAGGTATACTCAAGTACCTTTCATCAAAAGATAATTTACAATAGTATAATCATACAAAATATATATGAAATTAAAAGAAGAAAAATATACTCCCTATGTGAGGAAGGGCTTTAATTAATTATTTCTAGTAATATTTAATTCAAAGAGTAGTAGAACATTGAGCTCCTTGTCTAAAACTAAGCGGACCAGATGGCAAGGAAGATCCAAAAGGCATAATAGCAACACAATCAACATTAAACCTATACTTCCCAGAAACCCAAGTTCCAACTTTCCATCTTAACCTACCACTTCCTTTCAAATTCATAATCAATTTTCCAACACTTTGGTCACGTTGCACCTCATAACCAAAATAAGGATCCACCGGCAATCCATTCCCAATCAACAAAGCCGATAAAAAATTACTATCTTCATGCCCTTGATAAAATGGAGGAAGAGAAGTATGAAGAGTAATTTGTTGTCCTTTATAAGAAGCAAACACTTGCAATTCATCGTAGTAAATTCCAACTTTCTTATTCGGATTCTTCGATACGAGGGTGAGTTGAATAGACGAGTTAAGCAGTTGGCGTGGACCTGAGAGATTGAGTTGATAAATATCAGCTTCTCTTAGTGTGAAATTTGGTTTTGTAGGATGAAGTGTGAGGTAAAGAAGAAAGATGAATGATAGAATAGAGAGGGAAATTGTAGAGAAGCAAAAGAATAACTTCTTTTTTGGGAATAGTTTTTCTACTTTGAAGCCTTTTTCTTCACAGTGTTTTGGGGATTTTACATCAATTGGAGACATCTGCCAAGCAAGAAAATAAAGAAAGGGCAAGTTTGCAATGCTAAGGAAATGAAATGAAATGAAGAGGTTATTATTATATATATATATATACAAGAAGTGGTGTTAGAAGTAGAAGTTTATAATTATTGTCTTTTGGCTGCTTTTGAGTGGCTACTTTTGCATGGGATATTGACTAATTAAGTGCAATGATATCAAAGGAAAGTACTAATATTTTTCCTTTATTTACCTTTTGGTGAAGTCATTAGGTTGTTCAGTTATTGAAAATGTTCACCTAGAGTTTTAAATTTACTTTTGTTGTTATCATTACTAAATTATTTAGTTCGTAGCTAATAGAATTTTTTGATAACTCATTGTGAAATTGAATAAGATGAACGACATACTTTGTTGTTTAGCTATATTTGTCTGACACTAATTTTCATTTTTTAATAGTGTATGTTGATTACTTTTAATTGAAAATCTATCTTAATTTTGCTTTAAATTGATGCTAATTTTTTATTTATTTATAGCATGATTAATAAAATGAGATGAAAATTATGGAAAATTGTATAATTAGGATTCAAGTTCTAGCAATCTTTTGGTATGTGTAAGCTTTTGATGGACAAAAATTACATACTATGTGATACTTACAATGATAGGAAAATAGTTTTTTCCAGTCTAAATTGAGATGGAGAGTGTCTAGTTTCACAGTATTTTAATTAGTGAGCTACTAGACTTACTGTTAAAAGATGTAAAATAAAAAAATTAGATATATATAACATACGTGCAATGCGTGATATAGAAGCCAATTGCCTTTCTGTAGGATAGGGTAGGGGGGCAGGAAAGTGAGATATTATTATTTTTGTATCGATGATGAATATGCATGCACTTTGTTATATATGGTGCATGCTTTTTAGCTTGAATCTTTAAGTATCATTTATCAAATTGATGGTTGATTTGGAAGAAATTGGGGATACTGGGATATATATATCTATCATCTATGTGAGACGGAATCTTCATTACAACTTTTAGCATTATTGAAAAAAAGAGGTAGCCTTTTTTTAAAGTGTGTAATGATTGCACTCATTAAAATGATAAACTATATGCCACAATGCCCTGACTTCGACTCCTCCTCAGGGCTACAAAGATTTTACTTTCATCATTTTAATTCGTTTGTACTAATTTCTTTTTAGTCTATTTAAATATAATAAAAATAGGTGACATAAAATGATTGAGAACACACGCAAAATATATTTTTTTCTTAAATTTGAGACAAAAATATTTAATAAAAATATTTTATTCACGTATTTAGGTACTCAATTGAACAATTATAATTTAAGTGTTTAAATGAAGTTTACGAAGATCGTTGATGGTTGATATAATTAGACAAATAAATATCAGGGATTCCTGTCAAGGTAATAAGCACCAAAAATTCAATTAGGTAGCGGGGTTTTTGCTAATTAAATTATAGACATGCTTTTCCGTGTAAATCACTACAATGTGTAAAGAAAATAAAGTCAAAAATATGGAAAAGCATTTCATTGATTGAGCTGTGGTCCATGGAAATTAAAAGTTGAAAAGAAGAGGAAAACATGAAGAATCTAATTAGAAATGGACTTTTTCCAAGTCCATGGGGGCAGGTTAGGGGTGGGTGTTCGGGCCATTTGGTTTGAATTTTTGAATTGAAGAAATTATAATCTAATTTCAATTCAAATAATCCCAAATTAGATTAAATTTTTTAAATTTAATTTTAGATTGACTTTTGAATTTATAGGGCAGATTATAACAATTAACAATCTCAACTCGCCTAATAGTTTGCTCTGTTGTATAGTTTCCTACTATTAACAAGGATTGAGGTTACTTTGCTCGATTATGTTGTGTATCAAACTTATTTGTTCATAGAATATTTTTCATTTTATCTAGATTAGTAGCTACAAACAATACAAGTCATAATTAGTTATTTCGATTTTCTATTAGGGACAATAATTATAACCTCAAATCTGTTTATTGGTTTGAGCAAAGATACAACTTATTTAAATTGAATATTCAAAATGAACAATCATAAAAAATAAATATTTTCATGGAATCGTGTGTATTCTATAATATATTATAAGTTGTCAATCTTAATCATTGTCATTGAGACTCATATCAATTCAAATTAATATTTAGATATAAATGTTACCTCTTTTTTTTTCCTCCTTTCAAATAAAGGAAAATGATTTAAATATTTCTATTTGGAATCATGATAAGTCTGATTTCTATTGATTGAATTATTTCTAATGGCATATTTACAATATATACGTGGTGATCAGTTGAACCTTTTAAAAATAAAATCGAAGGTCAATTTATAATCCAAAAATTCATATCAAATACCTGAAAAGTTTAAACTTCAGATTGTACCAAACTCTGTCCACCCCTAGCCCCTAGGGCAAAAAATAAATAAAAATTATCCTATATATATATAATTAAAATTATTTTTTACGTATATATAATAGATATTAAATATTTTTTAATTAATTTTTTTATATGTTTACTTTTAATATTTCGAACTCTCTTAAAATAGTAGTAACTTCTACTCAATCGAGTTTATGGTGAAAAAAAAAGTTGCTTCTATTATAGCTCATCATGTTACTTCTGCCTTAAGGAAACTTCCCACCCACCCTTTTGTTTCTTCTCTTGTTTTCTTATTTAAGGGTCAATTTGCAATTTTGCTACGTAGACATTTGATTATTAACACAAGGAATATATTAGTATAGTCTCACGAGTAAGATCTTGAGTTATCATCACTAGAAAGAAAAACTAAAATACAAAAGCTGTAGATAGATGTAGAGTAGCTAGTAAGCAATTGAAATAATGTTGTTTAGGGCATCTCCAACCCAATCCTCTATTTTACTCTCCAAATATAGAGTTCTCTATTTTTTCAGACAACCAATTCCAACCCAATTCTCTATTTTACTCTCTAAAAAGGAATCCTTTTCTCTCTCCTTAGTATTATATTATTATTTCTATTTCATTCTTATTTTCTTATTTCATAATATAAATCCTTTATTTCTTTCTTTCCAAATAATTACTTTATATAATTTTTAATGTGATATAAAATTATTTTTTATTCTAAATTTTTAAATAACATAAATTGCAAGAAAATATAATATAATACATAAATTAGGGGACAAATTCAAATAAAAGTGACATACAATTACATAAACACTCAATTTCAAAATTATTACGTTGCTCGCATAAATGCTCTATTAATGCATTACGGAGTTCAAAATGAGCATTTTTGTCCTTAATTTTTTTATGTCTAGCTAAAAATTGTTCAAATCGAAGATTTTCATCTATCACCATTTCTATAGTTAGATGGAGCCTCTACGACATCTTGAATTGGTGCATTGAGATCACGTTCATCCTCAATTATCATGTTGTGCAGTATAATACATGTAGTCATTATATCATGTAGCGCTTCCTTTCTCCAAAAACGTGACAGTCCTGCAATAATTGCAAAACGTGATTGCAAAACTCCGAATGCACGTTCAACATCTTTTCGGCACGATTCTTATTTCATCGCGAAATATTTCTTTTGTTGGGAATGAGGATCACGAATAGTTTGAACAATTGTAGACCATTTAGGATATATACCATCAGCTAAATAATAACCCATATCGTATACCATCACAACCACAATCACAACCACAATCGCAACAATTCTCGGAAGCATATCCTAATTTTTTTTTCAAATAGTGCTAAATCTGGAAAAGACCTACCGGATTTCTAAATTATTGTTGTGATCAATTAATTATTATGTTATGTATTGTATTTTATCTTGTGTTTAAATTATTATGTTATGTATTATATTGTATTGTTGTCTTGTATCTAAATTATTATGTTATGTATTGTATTGTTATCTTGTATTTAAATTATCATATCATGTATTGTATTTATAAATTAATTTTTTTCATCTTGCCATTTTAATTTTGCGTATTCTTTATAATGAAAATTAATAATAAAATAAAATTTTATTATTCACGAAAATTAGAAAAAAAAATTAAAATACTATTAATTTGAAATTAAAATAGTATATATTAATAATATTTAAAAATATTATATTACATTTAAAAAAGAATTATGAATATTAGATATTTAATTAATAGAATTATATGTAAAATAATATGTTAATTAGAAAGTAATAGAAATAATAATAAAATAATAAAAAAGTGAAATATAGAGTGTGAGTAGTAGTTCTCCAAATTTTTTAAACTACTATTCAACTCTCTAAATTTGAAGAATAGAGGGTGATTTGGAGGTGGGTTGGAGTGCCCATTCTCTATTTTACTCTCCAAATATAGAGTATAGAGAGTAAAATAAAGGTGGATTGGAGATGGTCTTATCGTTAAAGTAGTGTGCCATCCTTAATTTGAAAACAGCGGGTAACTAATTGATTGCTTTTAATTACTAGTAGTATTATTTTTTTGATTAATTCAGTTATGGAGGTCTTTCAGATAAAGTTGAGTTTGAGTGTAGCCCATCATCATTACTCTTTTGTAACAAGTGAAACTTTCTCTTTGCTATCTCATTTTACTTTGCTAAAGACAGGGGACAGGTCCACTGATATTATATTGCCCTCAGCTTTGTGTTTTGCTTTATGCCTAGTTTCTTCATCATGCCCAGGTTGTGTGTGTCAAAATGTCAATCTCTTACTATTTCTTTTTGTTTCTCATTTCTCTTGTGCAAAATTTCACGCAACTGTTTTCCCTCCCCTGTTCCATTTACATCTCAGGACAAGGGTTTACTCGATTATTAAGAAATATCTTTCTTATTTATGATTTCTTAAGAGACATGTAAAAGAGAAATTGAACAAGTAATATGGGAAGGAGAAGTAATACTACATAGTTACTCTCTCTGTTTATTTTTTTTTGTCCGGTATTGACTTGACACACGTTTTAAGGAACAACACGTTTTAAGGAACAACAAATAGAGATAATTTTCCTATATCTATTTTTGAATATAATATATTATATGCTTTGGAAAATGACTATAGTTAATAATAAGGTCTTGATCTAGACGAGTGAACGAGTAGAAGTAGA